GTTGCTACCTGGCCGTGTCCGACCTCAAAACCGCCTGATGGGCAGAACCTGAATGGCTTCTTGGTTGCTCTTAGTACGACCTTGAAGCCTCTAGCCTGCTTCGCTGTACTTCTCAAACAAGATGACAGTTTGGAAGGGGTTGTTCTTTGATCGTGACTTCGCCCGTGTGAGTGCAAAGGGCTACTGCCTTTGTTGTTCGTTGTTCTGCTGGTTGACACAACACTCTTCCAGTTCGAGAGTAGCACATCCAGTCGCTGAGCACTTTGCTTGGAGTGTATCTGGTCAAACTATGGCGACCTTGCTCGGGGGTAAAACCAGCCCCATGATGAAGGAGCCTACTTTAGGATTTCTTCTTGGTTCAAGTGTTTGAATCATAGCAATCCTATGCTGACTGGGATCCTTTATTTGCTTATGCCTTCTGGGAAAAACAAATAACCATAAGTCCAGTGGCAAGTTCCCTTTTAAAACCAGGAGAAAGAACACATATTCTTCAGGAAATGAAAGTAATTTGCGCAGACATGGCTCTAGCGGTTGAAGCACCAGAGAGCAGACCCAGCTCTGAGGTAATGGTGACTGGTGGACAGCCGCTACCTTGGTCCCGGGAAAACTAGTGCCCGGCTTTGTTGGGAAAAAGGTGTGTTTCGGAATGGGACACCCGCAAGTTGTGTGTGTTTTCCCTTTTTGCTTTCTATTCCCTGTTGCCAAGTGGCGTCCTCTTTCCACTTTTCTTGGGGCAGGGTTTTAACCTGCAAACTCAACTCCAAGAAGGAATGCCTTTGTGTCCCATGCGCTTGAGCGACCAGACAACAAGCTGGTACCCTCAAAGAGCCACATTTCCCGCGTAGAGTTGGGACTCGCCTTGGGAAAACGACGTGGCCAAAATAGGGGACTCACTTTTGTTTCATCTTTTTCTTGATCTGGTGTACCTTTGTTGGTAGGGGAAAACCAAAAGGAACACCACAATTTTGGGGTTCCCCCAAAAAAGAAGACAACGAAAAGGAGTCCCCCAAAAGGAGATTCCGATCCTAAAAAACATGGTGTGTTATGTGGGTTCCGCGTTAAACTGTATGGGAGTACGTCAAAGATCGGACGGACTGAAACATTTCATGAAATGGCCTGCATTCTATTTGCCCAATGCCTCCGAAAAGCATTTCCTTGAGGAAGCAACAATGTTCGCAACTCATGCCTAGATAGTCTTTTGCGGTCCATTTTCAATTTCCCTGAACACAACAATCCAGCTACCCAAAAGTAGGTAACCCAGGAAAGCTATGACAACTTTGGAGGAGGAGCACTTCTTGCCTACCAATTCGTAACAGTTGGGTCCTGATGGGACAGAAGAAGGTATGTGAAGCTGACCATCCGATTTTCCGTGTGCCCCCTTGTTTGTGGGCCAAGTTGTAGGCCCAAAGAGGAAAAGCTGAATCTCTCCGGGCTGTCAAGACGAAGCATGGTTGCCAACAGTAAACCAAGCGCATCTCAGGTGGAATGCTGGGGGGTCGCAAGTTGTTTAAAGTGAGCTCGGGTCTTGCTTTGTCAACAACAATTTCCCCCAGCTGATGTGGGCTGCATGCATGACTCCAGGCTGACTCAAGCTGGACAGGCGCGGGGGTGGCATGGATCAAAAACCAAATCGATTAGCCCCCAGTGAACATCCGATTTAATCCCCACTAAAATAGATTCTAAAATGGGTGGTGAATTCACCTACGCACCAAAATGGGATCCCAAAACGGTTTTGACCCACAGCCATGAAAGTTTATGGTGTGCCGTCAGGGCGGGTGGTCCCTTAGGCAGGATTTTTGAAGGCGCAAGGAAGAAAACCCCACCCCCTTGCACCTACCCCCCCATAGGAACTCCACCAATCAGTGGCTAAATGTTGACTTGCGTCATTCTACCGCCACCAGGAGCCGGGGGTGATCTCCATGTATGGTTTCATCTTCCAATTATAAGGGGACTAGATCAGTAGAGTTGGGAGCCGAGGGGTCCTCGCCCCCATGTTTCTGCCCTTTCAGGCCAGGGGCATCCGATATGGAAACTGGCCGCTTGAAATCGAGAAGGACAAACTTTAGATACAATTAGGACGCGGCTCAAATGATTGTTTGGGGGGAGGTCCATATCAATCAGAATAGTATTTAACAAGTGTCGATGGTTTTTCAGCAAGTAGGCAGGAGTTGGTTTTCGGCGCGGGCCGCTTATCATAGCGGCCTGGAACAAGCCAGGCCCCCTTAAGAAAGAAGCAACTGTTTCGCTTTGTTGATTCTTTGTGTGTTGCGTGTAGAAGTTAGGGCCGCACCCACGAGACATGTTCTTGAAACCCTTCTAAGAGCCCCTTCCGAGTATGTTAGAAGCTTGCCCTCGGTGGTGGACGTGCCTTTCGCTTCCTCCTGACGCAGTGCGGAGTGTTAATTTTGGCTTACATGAGGCTGGCACTCTGATCAGCTCTTAGCTGCGTTGCTGTGAGAAAAGTGATGCCGTATTGCAAGATCAGAGGCCGAAGCAATTGTGGAGTTGAGAATTTCGGTCGTAAAGCAGCGTTTCACTGAACTCCGTGTCAATGTGTCGAACTTAATACTGCTGACAAAAGACTTGAGTAGAAGAGACTCGACCGCTTGAAGGGGAAATAGTTATATCAATATTACTAGGGGGTTTGCCTCGAACCGACGGTGTCACAAGTTTCTTGGTTTCCTTGGTTTGTCTTCCAAACCAAAAGGGGGGGCTTCCCTCAAAAGACACCCCCCACGTGTTCCAAGTAAAAAAAACATGGTTGTGTTTGTTGTGTTTGTTTGGGGGTCCTAATCCATGCTCAGAAGGTTCGGATCGGTTACCTCGAACACTTGGGGGGAAATTGAATATTCAGCCTCTCATAAATGAACTATACTTTTTTGGAGGAATAGTTGAATCAAGACCCTCACTCACACATACAAAGAGGGGGAATTCACTCATGGCTTTGGCATTGTCTAAGTAAGCTTGAGGGTCCAGGTATCCTTTTGGCTTCCCTTGAATCGGCTTCGAAACCGCGCCCGAAAACTGGGCGAACTGGCCCGCGAAGCCAGGAGCGCCATGGTAAGGACCGAAGTCCCAGATCCCTGGGCTGTAGAAGTCGAACCCTCACGCCACGAGTTCCGTTTCGAACTTTACTAGGTCCGCTAGGTGCCAACTTTTACCCACTTTTTTGGTTGGCAGGGTTCCAGCAAAATAGACCACAGAAAAAAGTTGGTACCCTTATTCCAACCTCTCTACTGGAGGAGCTAGTTTAGCGACTTGTTGGTCTGTTTGGAACGTACTATATGTGGTGAACATAGAATTGAAAGACATATGTAAGCACATTATCATAAATCAAACGATGAATGATTGAGTCAAATTTGTAATTTAGATCTTATAAGTGCAGTAGTGGCAAATATGGAGCTTAGGTGAATTGTGTTTGGCCTATTCCCAGGCAAGCTTTGAGTTGCCAAGGATTTCCACGTGATCAAATGGTGATAGGGGATCGCTTTGGCATCCATCATTCTGCACAAACTACCTCCTACAGACTCCTACGAGTATTTTGGGAAAATGCTGTTAGGCAATTCCTTTGATTGTCGATTTCGTTAGGGAATCATATGCCCAGATGTTGGGTGGTTTCTTTTGAGGGAGGGAGTGCTTAAGGAAACCAGGGCCACAACAGAAGTTATTTTGTTTCTCTTGTTTTTCTCGCAACAGTTCCAAGAAGGACTCAAATGTCCCTTTGAATTGGCAGATTGCCCCAAAATTATGGGGTGGAATCCCTTTTTTAAGGGTAGTTTGATGCCCAGGAACCCTCACCCAAAAGACATCCCCAGAATCTCAGATCCCGTTTTCAGCATGGCCGAAAAATGCCCGTTCTCGACCTCCCGTGCCGTGCCTTTTCCCTTGGGTTGCTCTACATGAAAAAAGGGGAGTCTTTCCCAGGGGTGTCTTCCATGGATTCTCTTTGGGCAAGTAAGAAGGCTTGAGGGTTTTTTGCTCAGGTGACCCTTGGTAGCCCGCTGGTTCGGATTCGGATTTCACATGGGGTTTCCCACCCCCGGAACGATTTCCCGGAACACCTTCAAACTACCTGCGGGTGAAGCATACGTTTGAGCGAAAGGCATGGTGGATATCGAGTCGATTCCACTTATTTGTACACCACTACAAATTCACATGGAATCCACTAAAAGCTAAGCTTATAGCAGGGGTCTGAAGACAGCCCAGAAAAAAAAAAAGCAGCTACAGAAAGTTCAGTTCAACAGGAATTCCTTTTGTTTGAGGGGTGGCCCATGGGTGGCCCATGGGCGCCAATTCCTGTGGCAATTCCTGTGACTGGTTTCTGTGACACGTTGATATGTCTTTTCAGATCAGAAAACAGCGGATTTGAGAAAGTAGAATTCCCTTTCTGTGGGCAAGTCAAGGAGATCACCAAAGCCAAATGAGCGGAGTTGTGCCATCTTACCTTGCAATCGCCTTCCGACTGGACCCTGAACCTCAAACTACCATTACACACATGTTAATAAAACCGAATTATAACGACCTCACTAAATGGTGGTTTATGTGGTGAATAGCCCCCCCAACCACCTTATTTCAGGCTGGTGAAATATTATAATTCACCCAGATTATGAAGTGGGTCCCCTTCAACCATTCTTTAATCGGCGAGTCGGAACCCTTGGGCGGCGACATGAGACATGTTTTGTCTTCTTCATTTTTTGTTTTTTCGCGCGAGGACGAGTGAGGCTCGGCTCGGAGTTGCAAAACGCATCTACTCAGGCTACTGAATTGTCCAAAGCCGACCTGACATTACCTTCATCGCAAATTATAGCCAGCGCACCCATGAAAGCCACTCTTGCTTGGGGATTGTGACACACACACACACAGATTGCAACCATTCTGAGTCAAGGCGAGCCTGACAGGGATCGTCTCAAAAAAACAACCAGGTTCTTTGGCAATTTGGTAATGTTGACTCCGGATTAATCAACCCCGGTTTATTAATAGGGGTCCCTGGGTTTAGTGGGGCAATCAGACCACTCTTGGAGGGGCACACTAATACTGTGGATGGGGCAAATACTGCACCACCTAAGAAATCCTGGTTTCGGATGATTCCCCTGTAAATACCAAGCCACAATGGTTTCAACCATGGAATCAAAGTGGTGCGAACGGATCTCAACAGTGGGATGGCTTTAATCCGGGGTCCACAGAGAGCCAAAATGGGCCGGGATCCGGCCACCATGGCCGATCCATCAGACCACTCCGATGGGGATGGTCAGCGACTCCGTCCGGGGTCTCCGTATTTTTATCGAACTGTGAAACATCTGAGCAATCTCGAATGTACTGCTGGGTTGCAAACGAGCCAAGCCAAGCAATTTACTCCTTGGCTGCAGCTTCATCTTAGGATGTTATGTTGGAGTACCCCGGATGGTGGTGGCCAAGTAGGGATTTTTGACAAGTGTAAAGGTTCTTGCCAGCACCCCCCAATCGCTGCTTTGTTCCCATGTAGACTCCAAGTGCCATCCGGAAAAGCAGTCGTTGGGGGGTGGTAAGGGAACCATGACCAGACCATGGCCAGCAAAAGTTTTAAGCGGGGCACAGTTGGGTGTGTCTTGTTTTGAGGGTACCGCTATTTTGGTGGTTTTAAGGGACCACCCAAAAGGAAGCCACCATTTCTGGGTGCCCGAAACAAAGACACGCCCAGCTTCGGGCCTGTCCCATGCCAAGTCGGGTGTGGACTTTGGGTCGGGCTTTTGTGATCTCAGACATGCGCAGATATTCTCAACAAATTATGAATATCCCAAGCATCATTGGACCCTCCAGCGAAGGGGTCAGGAAGTCCATTGAAGGGTGTTGATTTGCAAAGCGAGAAGTGTTGAGGGCCCAAGATGCTTAGGGTAAGGGGTTTTCCTATGAAGATTCATTTGGGTGTGTTGCTTTTTGCCTGATGGACCACCCCGATGGATCGTGTCAGCTATCGAAAAGGTGACTCTGCAGAGTGGGCCTGGCAGCTCCAAGTCCAAAACCTGGTTTGAGCCCGGCTTGGAACACCTGTGGCTAGGTCCCCCAGCAATTGATGCCAAATTTTACCGTTTCTTTTTTTGGTTGGGAGGGTTTTCCTACTAAAATAGACTACAGAAAAAAGTTGGTACCCTTATTCTAACCTCTCTACTGGAGGACCGAGGCGGGTTGAGCATGGTTCCTTACCCCCACATGACTACGGATAACTTTTGCAATTGGTCATCGCATGTAAAGGACCTTTTGATCAACCCATAATAGCAAGGGTTTGCGACGTCCTGTTGAAGGTGCCATTATGGGGTCTGTGAATAGTAATTTGCCCAGATCATCGGTGCCACTGAAAGAAACCCCCTTCCAAGGTGTTTCCTTGGTTAGGTTGCTCAGGCTGCGGTTGCGACTTGTTGCTCGCCGAGAAAACTGTAATACCCACCTGGAACCGCACAGGGATGATTGTCTAACCAGGACCCGCCGAACATCGGGTTCTACGTTAGTTGGGGGGAGGATAATTTGCTTGAGTTGGGGTTGGACTTTGCAAACAGGGGGAAACGATCATGTGGGGGTGTGTTTTTTGAAGGGTACCCCCCCAAAAAAATGGTTGGTGTCCTTTTGTTTGCGCCCTACCAAAAATCGTTGGTGTCCTTTTTTGGTTTCACTTTGAGCCAGCCCCAACTAGGGTGCCGAGCCTCAGAGAGGAAATCAAACAAACAAAAAACACCCATCTCAGTTGTTCAGTGGCTCCCTTTTTCCCCTTTTTTTCTGGTGGCTGCCCCACTAAAATGGTCTTCCCAAAAAAGGGTTTCCTTTTTTTCCAGGGTCACTGAACAACTGAGCCACGGAAAACCCTGAGGCGAGTGGTACCCTCCCGAAACTCTCAGGCTTCCAAACATCAGAGCACTTCATGTCAGAACCCTCCCCAGAACCGGCGTTGGCAAATGGATGCGTCTTTTTGTGGGGGGAACCCTTTATGGGTGGCCAAATATCGAAGGGAAGAAACCCATGGAACACTTTTTGGAGGGAACCCCCTTTTGATGTGCTGGGTTTTAAAAGGAAAACCACAAGGAACACCAAAGCCATGTCGGTCTTCCTAACAAAGGATACACACAAACGGGTGACCAGCATTTTGTGTCGTTCGCCTTCACAAGTCCTGAGGCAACTTGTGGATAACTGTTCTAACCGTGAAGCACCAGATGATTAGTTTCTCTTGTTTTTGTTTAGCCATACCGTGGATGGTTTCGAAATCTATTCGCACCCACCTAAGAGAATCTGGAATGATTCGGTTCCCCCTGTAAATACCAATGACACAATGGTTTCAACCATTTCAAAGTGGTGCTTCGGCGTTCGTCCTCCCACAGAACCTTCAGACGTTGGCGGAGGGGTGGGAGGCTTGTGTTGAATAATTATGTCCCTACCATTCTAAAACTAGATGGGTGGGAAATAGTGGTGGCCAGTATGAGGGTTGTGGTCACTACTGAAAGGGCCAAGGTACTTAGCAAGTGGTTAGTAAGCCTGGTTACAACCCATTTAGGATAATTATAACCCTGGTAAGTGGGTTATAACCAGGCTTACTAACCACTTGCTAAGTACAATGCCCCTTCAAGTACTCCCCCAAAACTAGATGGATGCGGCCCCGTATTCCCTCAAAGCCACCCCCCCCCCCCTAGTGGTGAAAAAAATACCCCTATCGGGATAGGGGGGAGGGAAGTCCCGATGAGGGGCCCTTGGCAATAGGACAAATGATGTTCTTCACTGGTTCTTTGCACAGTTTGTTCAGTTTGTTTCGAGTTCTAGAAGCATTGTTCTGGTCGAAAACCGGCTGTTTCCCCTGGGGTTCGGATGGTTTTTTTTGGAAAGATCCGGATCCCTGGAAAGCATGGAAATGGAAGTGTCCCCTAGAAACTTAACTACTGTGGTTGGACGAAATCCTGCACCACCCAAGACACCATGGAATGCTGTTTCCCGTGTAAATACCAACAAACAAAGGGTCTCAACCATGGTTGTCCCCTAGAAGAGTTGTTGCTTTTAGTTCTGCAAAAAGCCCAAGTTTTCTCTGCTGCCCCGAAATCGATCCCTTGGGCCGATTTCGCCAGGCCGGAGAGGCCCCTGCAGCCCGAGGCGGCGAAGCGGGTTGGAACGTGGGTCAAAATCCAAATCAGTTAGCCCCCAGTGAACATCCGATTCAATCCAACCACTAAAATAGGAAGCCTAAAATGGGTGGTGAATTCACCTACCAACCAAAATGTTTTGACATCAACTTCCCGAAATCCGCCAGTTCGGACTTTCGAGACCCTCTATCATCACAGGTCTGGGCGAGTTTGCGACTTTACCCCTTCCTAGTTTGCATCGTAGCTGACGAACGCAGCTCCTTTCCACAGTTCGAAATTGGCACGAGGGACGTGCCTGCTCGGGGACTGCCAAAACGGGTTTTGTTGGAAGAATAGAAGGGCCTAAATGAGACTAAAGCAAGCGGGTTTAACCTACCACCTCAACTTCATTCCGCAAACGACCAACAAAATCTTGCACCCCTTTGAATCCATGGTTGAAACCATTGTTTGTCGGTATTTACAGAGGAATCCTCAGAAATCAGGTTTTCCAGGTCTTAGGTGCGAAATGGATTTCGCAGCCATCCACAGTACCCCGAGCTTCGGGGTTTATCTCTCAACTTCCTGGGCCTTGAAGCCTTGGATCTTGGATCCGGCCCCTCTGGCGACGGCCCCCCGAGTTTTTTTTCTGCCCAGAGGCTCCAATTCGATGGATTTAGGGCCCTCAGACCGGGTCCCAAACACCAATTCCCGGGGTGTCTAATGGAGGGGTCGGGTCTTCCATTGAAAGCCGAAGCCAGGAGCCTCTGGGTGCTAAAACGTGGTTGCCAGGCAACCACGATTGTTGGGGCATTCGTTGGTTGGGGCGGAAAAAAACCCGGCCAAGGCGACTGGATTTTCCTCTCTTGGCGTTGGCTTTCTTTCAGCAACGGCGCTGAAGGGTTTTGGGGGTTTCCACTGGGAAAATTGGATTCGGATCGGGAAGTGGGCAGTTTGCTTGCGATTTATAAATTTGCAGTTCACGGCTTTTTACAGGCCCACTGGTGTTCGAGGCATTCACAAGCCTCGCTCTCTGATATCCTGGACTTTGTCCGGTTGGGAAGGACTGCTTTAGTAAGTGGCAAGCGGAAAGCGAGACGTGGGCGCTCAACTTGGTTGTTGTTGGGAAACATTTTACATTTTTGCTTATTGTGGTTTAGCGGGAAATCTTCACTTGACTGCTAAAATTTAAATGTTTGCTCCCCAAACCCAACGTCAACCAAGTCAATAGGGCGTAGGAAGAAAACCTGAAGGATGATCATCCCTCAGGGTTCTCTCAAATCGGTCTCCAGGACTATGGACCAAATATGAAACCACATCTGAACATATTATTTTTGAAGTACCCCACATGCGGAACAACACACCCATCTATGTGTTGAAAGTTGGAAACCACTCACTCTAGAGAACGGATTAAATGCGCTTTTGTTGATGTCACCTGTCCTTCCCCCTGTAGGTGCTTCCTCCCGGGAGGGTACAGTACCTGGAAGATCAGTTTGCTCTTTGAGGGACCCTTTGCCAGGTGCCATGTTAGTGAGAGGGAGGGTAATGCTCTTTTGGTATCCTACAGGGGTGGATGCACAGATTCGCATGTCCAAACCGATTCCTAGACTCATGAGGCCGCTGTGAGCTCGCACCCAATACCCGGCCTTTCTTGAGGGTATGGTAGGGTATGATTGTCAACCCTTGACTGAACATTCCATTTTTCAATGTCGTTGTTGTGTTGTTGTGTTGGGATGGCAACTTATGCAAATGGAAGGGGGTGATCTTCGAAGGCAAGCGGCCTTTTATTTTTAGAAGAGTCGCTCGTTTCGACAGGAACGGTTCGCAGGTGTTCAGATCGATGGGTCATTGCATCTAAGCTTCCAACTGTTCGAAGGTCAGAAGGCTGTGCCTCGTGCTTCGTTGGTCGGGTACCCCTCAGTTTTCAATTGGTTTGGGGATGTGAACCCCAACCCCCTAACACCCAAACCAGCAAGCCAATTTCTGGTGAGTAAGCAGGTGTTGGGAAACCAGGACACGCAAGATGCTCTTGAACTCTTGCTAGACATCGCTGGGCGGTTTTGTTTTGTTTGTTTCGTGAATATATTTCTGGTTGAATAGAACCAGACCTCCGGTGGTGCCCTTCTTTTTGTAGAGGATTTCCCTCGAAAAGTCAACCAAACAAGTCAGGTGACCTTTTCCCATTGGATGTTGGCCAAGATATGGGACGGTGCCGCCTTGTGCCGCCATTCATTGAAGGTGTGGCTCAAAACTTAAGAGCCGGGGATACGCGGGTTTCGGTTTTGTTTCATATACCAAGGTGCCAATGTTGGGTACCATTTTTTTGAGGCACAGCCTTTGAAAGGCCCCCCCATGGAAATCCACGTTCGGTTCGGCAGTCCAATCGATCCGACTCGCCTTACATTGGGCTCGAACTTTGAGTGAGACTGGGCCCCAAAAGGCGCGCGCCCGGTTCCCAGGACTGTCCAATCTTCTGAACGGGACCCTTGGATTGTGCCTTTTTTAGGGCTCCAAAATGGTGGTTTTGATTTGGCTTTTAAAACAACAAAGGGGTACCGAACCTCAAAATCACACCCATTTGGGGATTCATCTCCACCAACTTGAGAGTAGTTCATGCAATTTCAGAGCTAGCTATGTCTGGAGTCTCCAAAGCTATAGATAGTCAGCTGAGGGTATCTCCCTACCCAGCTTAGCTACAGGGTGACTTTGAATGGGGAGATAATTTCTGGGGTCTCCAACTGTATTTGATACGCTATACTAAATATGAAACAACATCATGATATACCTGCTGTTTGCCCAAGGGGCCGATAGTTGCTTGTAGTCAGGGTTATATTATGTGAACCCTGATATATCTATACCCATGCTGGTAGAACCAAAAGTCCATCTTTTGTTTCGGCGCTGTCATTTGAGGTTCGGGCAAGGTGTTCAATAGTCTATGGTTCATTTGGCAGGGACGTGGCGAGTTTCAATTGTCCCTCCAAAATCAGGGAGACTTACCTTCTTTCGCATTTCCCCTGCAAGTTTGATCTGGAAATATGTCAGGAGACCAAAGATGCACCTTTCTGTTCAGCCTGGGCAGGGGTTGGTAAGGACAGTCATGGACCCCTTGTTGGGTTTGGACCGGTTCAGACTTGTTCTGACAAATTCACGCGGGAAGTGAGACTTGATTGGTGATTTTTTTTGGCTCGTCCCAACTCGCATTTTGGAACAGGTGGAACTTCGATTGTTTGAAAGCCTTTTGTTGAACATAGATGGTCACTAGCTTCCAAGTGTCGACCACTCGCTCAAAGACTGGGTGGGAATTCAAGAGGCCGGAGCCTCAAGTTTACCAGGCCACACTTATATAATGTTGACCCGAAATTCGGATCTCGCAATCATTCACACCTCAACGCAGTGCGACGGAAGTTTCTTGCTTGCTCGGACCAGGGTTCCTCCAAAGACTCTGTCACATAGAAAACTGGTCCCTGGTAAATGTTGACCCCGTTTGATTCAACCAACCAGTTTTTTTGACTCGGGGGTGTTTGTTCCCCAAGAGTGGTCTGATTCCGAGAGACCCTGGAATGATGCTTCCAATGTTGGTGCAGGATTTCGTCCATCCACAGTAGGAGTTTCATAAACATATCCTGCAAAGATTTGCTCCCGCCTGCAGAAGTCAATGCTGAAGTTCTCTCACATTAGGGTGGAGGCAAATGGGGCAAATTCTCAGGCATGATGCATGAATCGGAATATGCATGCCTGATATGAACTGATTTGGTGAGGACTAGACCATTCTTAAGAATTCTGGGGTATAGAAACCCTACTGATCTAACCCTACTGGGCCCTACTGACCTACCCCCGTTTTTGAAGTTAGTGATGTATGGCCTTGGCAAGCGGAAATCTCCAGTGTTGGTTCTGCTTCCATCATGGCCACGGGCTGGTCAAATTCATACCACTGAGAAATCGAATTTCGAAAGCAACAAACGCTCCCCCCATCCAGAGCCACCTGAAACAAAGTGGGGATTCTGGAGCTTTCGCATTCGGACGACTGAGGCAGCCGCCTTTTCGATGGGGGGTAGATCCAGCCACTGCTTGCCGCGGCCTGAGACGGAAGGCCGGTTCTTCAGACGGGGGGGTCCCCTTTTGGGCGGACCCAGTTGTGTAGTGGTACCCTTTTTTCTTGTTTTTAGGGAAGGGTTCCCCATTAAAGTCAACCAACCAAAAACAGGATGCCGTTTTAAAGGGCCCTTTTTTCCCATGGCCACTGGGCATCTGAGTGGAGTTTCAGACCGCTTTTGGACTTCCAGGATCGAGCAGACCCCGCTTTTCGGTGTGGATGTTCAGCTCGCGTCTTGGCGCGCTTGCGCTTGCCAGCGCTGGCTGCTAAAGAGCCACCCGGAGCGCAGCAACGAGATGGGGTTTCGAAGGGCCTTCGAGCAGCACACCCTCCGATCCAACATGATGGCGGCATGGGCAAAGCTTCCACGGGAAAAGCTTCCGCGACACCCGAGAGCAGAAGACAAGCTCTGGAAAGACGCGGCGAGCTGCTGGAAAGTTTCCTTTGAAAGAACAATATTTGAAGTGAGGCTTGGGGCAATTTTCAGGATGGAGTTTTCGAGCTAGAGTGCTAATTGCTCTTAGGGACGCATTTTTGTTGAAGTCTCGAAAGGGGGGAGCACTGAATTCAATCTGGGCCCTCACCCCCTGATAGGTTCTATTTGGATAGGTCGACATTTCCCGTACTTCTCTTACTCCCTGAGTTGGCCGTTAATCACTTTTTGGGAAGACCAGTTTAGTGTATTTTTGGACTAAGTTTGTGATTTTTGGGTTTTTAGTTCATGAACTCATAAGTTTAGTGAAGTTTTTTTTTGGGGGGGTCCATGAATCAATCAACTCATGGGAAATGAGTTACCAGCCTGTAAAGGTCTCTCGGTTTTCTTGGTACCCCTCTCGGGGGAACCGGTCATTTGCCGTAGCCTTAGGTGCGACACCGATGACACCGACGGCGAGGCGCCTGACGCCGTCTGATGCGCTTGAGCGAGCGCCTGCCTGTGTTGCACGCCGCGAAGCAAATCGGCATCCCCAAACCGGCGCCCGTGGCGCCGTGGGTTTTCCCATAGGTATCCTTGTGGTAAAAATAGATGGACCTGGTAGATTATGAAACAACTACCTCAACCAGGAATTGCTCGTACCAAGATCAAAATGGCCTCACGGCTTTTCCAGCTTGATTTTGGCAAGGAGGTTCCGCCCTGACAACTCCCGCGGTTGGTGGAAATCCAACTCCAGTCCTTTTGGGTCCACGGATGCTGGGTGTGTTTTTTTTTGCGGAATTGCCCCACAAAACAGGGCAACATGTTTTGTTTTTTCTAATCTCAGGTGAGTCACTTGATCAAAGCCCGGTATTAAAATGGTCGTAATCCCCGAACCATGCTTCAAGAATTAAGAAGGCGGATATCCGCAACTATTTCTGGCTGGGACTGCCCCCTACTAACGTTCATCTACCCGGGTGTTGATTGTGGCTCAGGTGATATCCCCAGCACCATGCGGTGCTCTTTTTAGTGCTCGCACCACCCCGCAGCCCTCGCAGAACCTCGTGGAACCCAGGTTGGTACAACCATCGTGGAACCTTACCTCAGGGCCGCCCCGGACCACCCCGGAGCCTATCTGGGCTGAGACCCCAAAGCTTTCAGCTGTTGGGGAATTAAAACCACAAAAAAAAGGGTTATCCTCAAGATAAGACACACCCAACTGGTCCTTTGTTTTCAAGGAATTGGACCGCCCAAAAGTCAGGTTGCTTTCGAATTCCTTGACTGGTTTCGTCCTGAAAGGAATTATTTCTCAACTTGTTTCACCCCTTATTCTTTTGTGAAACCGTCCCTTCTTGCAAGGGGTTTGTTGATGGGCAACCACCTCAAAAGTAGTTGGTGGACATAAATCCCTACCTAAATGATATCCACCAAAAGGTATCACATTGAAATTACAGGTTTGGCACATTTTCTGAAGAGAAAGATCCCTGAACAAATGGGAAAGCTAGATTACATATTCCTCAGTTCATGGACTTCAAACTGTTTCGGAAGACTCCTTGTTGTTCTTTTAGGGTATGATGTCAACCCATGACTACAACTAAGTGTGTTCTTTAGCAACGGATTACTTGGTTCTTCAAGCAGGGATACTTACTGCCCGAGTTATCCCTTTCACTTCAAACTGTTTGGTTTCGGTTACCATTTTCGTGTAAAATAGTAAGATACTCTTACCCAGAGTATGCACTCGTACGAGACGCAATTTCGAACCTTCATGGACCCCTAAGAGGGGCTATGGGGGGGGGGCCTATCCCTGAATAAGCCTAGGATAAGCCGAGGATACGCCCTTAATAAGGCCTTGTTAAGGGGTTGATAAGGGATAGCGCCCCTCCCATAGCCCCCCTTGAGGGTCCATGAAACCTACTCTCTCACTGGCTGTGTGAGTGTTCGCTTTTGATGCTTATCCAAAGCACAAGAGAGAGAACAAGAGTCTAAGGGGGTTTGTATTACACCCTGGGAAAACACCCACTGGGTATTGACCCCATTGAGCCATTCTGGGTCATTTGTTCAAGGGTGTAATCCCAGGGTGTAATACAAAAAGCTGAGAAAGAGAGGGCACCAGAAGCTGAAGCCTCTAAAGGGGCGCAGACGCGCGGGCGGTTGGTGACGCAAGGTCAGCGATTTCGAGCCAGTGGGGTTCCTTTGACCACCTCCAGTTTGGACAGGGCTCCTTAAAAGATACATTTTGTCCATTTGAAACATGGCTTTTTCCTGCAAAACAAAGGGACACCACCATTTACAAGGCAGTATAATGTAAGGATCCCTGTTGGAGCTCTTCCTTTTTGTAAGAAATACTGTGGATGGACCAAGTCCGTTCGCAACCATTGTTTGTTGGCATTTGCAAGGGAATCATCAGGTGCGAAATGGATTTTGCAACCATCCACAGTATGGTTGTGTCCTTTTTGTAGGGCGCCCACTAAAATTTTGAAGCCACAAAAAACCCAGAGGTACCGACTCCAAGAACAGAAATCCCAGACAGTGAGTCTTTGGAGACCCGGGGTATCCCTATGTGTAATCTCCATTTCGGATGGGACCCCTTCTTCTGGCCCAATTTATGATGCCGGTTGCCCAGTGGCGCCCCTTTTTTTTCCGTTTTTTTCTGGGGAAGGGTACCCCCTTTAAACTCAACCAACCAAGGAAGGATGCCCTTTTTTCCCCATGGCCACTGGGCATCTGAGGCATTGTGTGTCTCAAAGAATAACCCCAAGTGTTGTTGTTTAGTATCCCTTCAATCCAACCAAGGGGTACCTGGAGCCGGCGTCATGCCCCGTTAAATGACCCCTGTAGTGACCCATTCTCATTTCGGTCAGAATAGTTGTGTCCTGTGTGAGTGCACCCGTTTTTGTGGGTTTTAGAGGGAAACCATCCAGCATAGGTGGAACCCCCGAAAAAGAAAAGAAAACAAAACACACACACACACACGAGCCTCCCGACGGTCTTTCAAGCCAACCGCCCAGCACAACGCCACCTTCCTGGATGAGAAGGCGGCCGGCCCCAGCGAAGTGAGGCCAGCGGGGGGTTGGATACAACTTCGAGTCGCCCGAGGTCAGCCGGCGCGTCGTGATTTTTGGAGGGGTTTTGCTGGTTGGGTTGGATTCAAGGCCTAGAGCGTTCCCTTTCCTCTTTTTTTTTTGGGGGGGGTCATTTGTTTTTGAGGGGTTCCCCGATTTTAGGGCTGGAAATTGCAGGCCTACCTGGAGTCTCCTTCTGACCCTTTAAAAATGGTTGGGCATGACCCCGTTGTTTTGGGCAATGACCCCTTTTTCTAGGGGTCATGGAGACTCCAGGTAGAGCGTTTCTTTGCTTTTTTTGGGGGAGGGCTCTCGTATTTTGAAAAACCTGGAGTCTCCGTCTGAATCAAAGATGGGGTCAGCGAAACAAAAGTGAAGGAGTTCTCCAAGGGTCGTGGCCGGAGACGATCCCGGCGGAGATGTGGTCTTTTGAGGGGTACGGCGGATGCCCGAAATATTGAATACATTGCGGTAAATTAGGGGATTGCTGTAAATTGGGGGGTTGCCTTGTCCATGACTTGCAGTATTTAGGGCATTTTCCAGACCGTACCCTTTGTTTCAAAGGGCAGCCAAGACGGAACACCGCCATTTTGGGAAGCTAAATTTTACCCACCAGCGCCCACAAAAGCTCTCAGGCTCTCAAGCTCCAAAGTCCGTGTCCAACCAGCGTTTCTGGGGACCCGGGGATGTGTGTCCATCGCAAGGGTTACTTCTCCTGGAAGTGGATTGAGTGGGCACAGCATGCCATTCTCCAGGGCTGTCTTAGTCTCCTTTGCTGGTCGAACAGGTCAGAATCAAGCAGAGATGGCTCTAGCTCAAAAACCGGCACCAAAATGGAACCCTGGCAAGTGGAAATATGAAATATGGACCAAAACCTGCGTAACCCCCCGTGTTTAATTTCGAGCCACACCCAGATCCATAATATATATATATATATAGAAATATATATATATATATATGTTCTATTTATCTATGAGGATCGTCGAAAAAACCATGACATTTTTATGAGGACTGAATACGAAAGCATGCTTCAGCCTCAGCTCTGTGTTATCCTTTTCGGGTGGGTCGCGGCAAAATTGAACCCCTTTGGGTCCTAAGGACATTTCAACATGAATTTGTTCAATTGCGGGTGTGTCCTATAGCTCGCTTTTCTTGGTGGTTTCCAGCCATCTGGTTCCAGATAGTCGTGTGTAATTGTTTTTTTAAGGTTGGCTTAGCTAGAAGTAGCTTCCACACCACCCAAGAGTTGTGGACGTTTAGCAATCGAAGGGGAACCGCAACCAGTTTTGGTGCGGGAAACCCGCAGGAACCAGACTAGGTCTTCCTTGAAGCACTTGAGTGGTTGCTAAAAACCGGTGTAGGTTGGCGCCCGAGGCTCTGTCCCCTTGCCAGCAAAAGGCGGTGCTTCCCATGATACATGTGAAACACTCGCTTGGAGCATGGTTCTGGGATTACGACCATTTTGATACCGGGGCTTGGATGATGACTCATGTGTGGCTCGCCTTTTTTTTTCAGGCTTTGGAAGGGAGACCAAAAGGAATTCTCTTGGCCGCCTTTTTTCAGGGGGTCCGGAGCCTAAAAACAGACACCCACACACAAATCCCTTTTCTACTCCTCACCTCCTGAGTTCATGGAATTTACTCACGTTTTGGGTCTTGGTGGCCATTTTAATGGCACACAAAACGAATGGTTACTTTTTTGCCATGAGACTTGTTGCCACCTTTGCTCACATGTGACGCAGTGGCATACACATGTTTGGGGCCATCCACTCGGGGGGGGTGAGACTTGTTGCCAAGCCACGTGTGACGCGGCCAGGCCACTCTTTACGCCTTGAGCCCGGCTCGTCGGAAAGTGTCTAGGCCCCTCCAATTTGTTGCAGGTAGATTCGGGTGTGTCTTTTCTTGGCTCCCAGCCATCCGGTTCCTTAGCTTTTGAGCCTTTTAGTGTTTAGGAATGTCCATTGAACCAACTAAAAGTTAATTTTTTTGGCGGGGGATCTGAGGACAGCCCAGTTTTGAGGGTCCCCGGGTCCACCCCCTGGTTTGGCCAGCGTTTGAGAACAGCCCAAGGGAAAACGCCAGCCTTTTGAGGGTCTAAAAGAAGGCACACCCATTTGGTTTTCCATGAAACATACCTGGTTTAGCCAGGGGTTGATATCAATGCTCTGAAAGGGGCGGTGTTAGGTAATTCCGGGGGCTCACATTTAGGCCCCCCTTTGGCAGGATTCCTTTCGTAGTCTTGGGATTCTTGACGTTGGCAAAAGCAAGGTGCTGGAAGGGTGAACTTTGGTTTCTAGGCAATTTGTGTTTGGGGAACGAAAGTGCTGACCTATGTTGGGCAATATTCTTTGCGGGGTTTCACAAAGAGCGTCAGGAACCCTTCAACCTACCGAGGGTTCCATCCGAAATGGAGATTCTACACACGAAGATACTCCTTGGACTAGGACACCCGCTTAAGGGTATGTCTCCAAGAGCCAGGCTCGTAAATGCCACGCTGAATTGGGGGTTCATACATGGTTGTTGTTGGGAAACATTTCACATTTCTGCTTGTTGTGGTTTAGTGGGAAATCCCCATTTAACTGCTAAAATTTGTATTTGTTTCTCCCCAAACCCAACGTCGACCAAGCAGACCCAGGGAAAAGGTGAAACACATATCAGCTCGTCAGTCCGTGGTTCCTGCTCTCTCACGAATGCGGCGTGCTGAATAAGTTAGGAAACATCAAACTCTTAAGAGAAAGGACGGGGAAAGGTCCAATTGTGAAATTCAGGGTTGTGGGATCAAGGGGCTTAGCCCCACTTCCGTGATACTTTTGGGAATCTCCCCCTTTCTCTGGCAGGTTAGTCTTTGAGAAGCCCTTTCTGCTGTATCACAGAAGTGGATTCCATTTGCTTTACTTTGGTGCATTTTGCTTGGCTGTTAGGACTTTAACTTTTTGCCAACTAATGGGTTTTCCGTACTAAGCCACTAAAAGTTATTCACTTTTGGCTGGGGAGCAGAAAGCAACCAAGTTTAGACTCCTTCGTTAGTTACCGCCCAGGAAGCAAAGCTGCGACCCGCTCTTTGCTCTGGGACGTCAAGAATGCAGTGCCAAGAACACGTTCTCCCCTTTCCCCCCGAAGCAATGTATGGAAGCTATCAAGGACCCTTCCCCGTGTTTGCTTGGGGGGGGCATCATAAATAAATAAATAAATCTTCATATTTATACATATATATATATACACATACATACAGGTTCCCTGATGATTTAGTCATACATTAGCATGTTTGAACACAACCAACCCATTCATAGTTTCAAGCCAAAGTGCGAAGCAGTTGTGTTTCTTAAACCGTCTTGTGCATTCATGTGTGAATCCGTTAGTATTCCGAGCGTTCGATTGCGTGGCGTGGTTGCCTTGAGTCGACACACTCGGACAGGACACTGGCTGGCGAGGGAGACGCACAATTCGGGGGGTTCTCAAAACAATTGACCCCTTCAGGTGGCTGATTTTCTTTTGCCTTGCTCTCAACGCCATCCCTTAAATGGGAATCCCTATTTTATGGTCATGTCTTGCCACAATACGATGGGCCAGTTTGGGAACTTCCACTTGAGCCAGCCTGATGCGTTTGGGATCGTGGTATTCTAACCACTAGCCCCAAACCGAAGGCACCTTAAGGGGAACATGGGGTAGACAATGACTGCATGAGTGGCTCGTTTTTTTTGGGAATCGGTCCCCCGAAATTAGGCTTTTCCTGTTGCTTTCCCTTTAACACCACCCAATCCACAGTACCCTCAAAAAAACAACCTCCCCATACGACCACTTAAAGGGTAAACCCGATATTCTACAGAAGAAAATTATGTGTGAGATCAGATCGCCAGGCCGTAACTGTTTGTTTGTTTGGTGGTTCCCAGCCATCCGTTGCAATAGCTTTTTTAATCTTGCTAGTTGGTTTAGTGGTTGGGTTTCCGTATTTAACCCACCAGTTCGTCACTTTTTGCCATCCAAAATTCGGACCGCCCGCCCAGTTTTGTCGGTCTAAGGTACGAGAATGGCGCCACATACAATGGCTCGTGGTCGGGACTCCCGGTCCACAGGGTGGTTCCCGTTCGGTGCTTTCACTCGAGACCGATTTTTCTTCCATGGCTTGGGTGCCCAATCGCCTGAAAACCTGTGGAAACAAGAACGTGCCTGAAAGTCTCCATGACACATTAAACATGGGGTCAATACCCAAAATGAAGGAGTTATGACCTAGGTGTGACTTTTTCGAGGTTGAACCCACCCCCAAAAATGGTGGAACGGTTGTCCTTTTGGCTTCCCTCCAAAAACAAAGACAAGCCAAAACATGTTTTTGCATCACGCCCAGCTCCGTTCAGGCAAACCCTGGTCCCTCGTTGTGCATGGCATGGTCCCCCTTTCGCGGTTATCTCAAAAAAGCTCCTTTCACAGTATCCACGAAACCAGAAGACTTACTAAGTTTCCCATGGCCAGTACCGGAACGATCTCTTTTAATGTGTCTCACGTTAAGCTCACCCAAAATTAGATCCAACCTTTAATGTTTAAAGGTCAACCTACCCAGTGGCTTTTAGCGTTCAATTCAATTCCCAGTAAAACGCATCTCCCTGCACTACCCTGCACTTCTGCACGTTGGGACTTGGGAAGATCCGACCTTGAACCATGAACTGTTTTAATGGGAGTTGTTTCTGGGTTTCCCTCAAAAAATGAAAAAGGGTAGCTCCCATCAATGCTTTCGCATGATGGCGACCAATAGGACCCAGGGAGACATGCCCATTCCACATCAGCTTGTTTCGCGCCTTTCCTTTTTTATGGCTGCACGGGGAGGAATGCAGGTCAACCGATCATGTCGCATGCTCGACGCGCCTTTTTGTGTAAGAGTAACATCCAGGAACTCACTCCCTGACCCCCTGCATGGTCGTTATTTGGGAGGCCCATTTTAGTTGGCAGACAACATGACTGGCTACTTGTGTTGGCCGATCCACTCGGGAAGCCTTTTCACCGGAGCGAGAAGCGAAATCGCAGGCTGGGCGACATGCGGCACGGCCATGGTGACCAGGCAAGGATCGTTTTTCTTGTCTTTTTTCTCGGCCAAGGGGTGTCTCAGTGTTTTCTCTGGTTTTGGGAGGGGGTGTCCCAGATCTGCCAAGAGATGCCTCCCTTTTGGCTGAATTGCACTGGAGCTGTGGATTGGGGGGTCCAGTCGTCAAAACTCAGGCAAGCCCCAATTGGTGCTTTGGATTGGTGCTTTGGATTTCTCAGTTGTTCAGTGGCACCCTTTTTCTTTTTCCTACTTTTTTTTGGGTGGCCTTACCAAAAAATCGGTCCAAGCCCCAAAAAGGGTTCCAGTTAATTACCCGGGGTGATCCAAATCTCAGGTGAGTCAGAATCAAAACCCGGTACAAACATGGTGAACCCAGAACCATGTAATTGAGTTTTTGGTAAATGTTGGGTATGTCACATGAGTCACTTGCTCAAAGCCCGGTATTAAAATGGTTGTAATCCCAGAACCATGCAAATCAAAAATTTTGCGAAGGCGCATATATCCGCAGCTTTTTATGGTAAGGGGATTGTCCCTTACTAACCTTCATCTACCCGGGTTTTGATTGTGGCTCATTTGGGTGTGTCTCAAAAATAGACCCCGACAAATTTCAGATGGGGCTTCCTTTTCCCCTAAACCACCTACCTAAGGGGACCCCCCAGTTGGATAAAATCCCCTCAACCGACCAATTCACATAATATTTTTTCATCAATTCATAACAGAACCTCAACTCAAGATTTGATACATAAATTTTGTAAATATTTTTCTAAATTTTCAAAAATATTTTTTTACAAAATTATCATTTTCCCAAGAAATGTAAATCATAAATTTTACAATATTATTATTGTAAAGTTTATGGTTAAAATTTAAATCATATTATTTCATAATTTGAATAATTGCAGAATTCCTCACGGAATATGCTGAAATGAAATAATTTTCCAGAAAGGGTAATTCACCTACAATTTGAAAAACTTTGTCCTTCACTTCCTCCATTTCCTTTTTGACCTCTGGTGCTTCTGGAGGTTTTGAATTTTCAATTTCATTAGGTGTTTCTTCCTCAACTGTTGTTTTTACTTTATTCTCATTCTCAATATGCTTCTGTGTTTTCAAATGCTTGGACATTGCAGATTTCCTCACTTTACACTGGCAAATGTCACATTCTATTTCAATCTGATTACGCACTTTATTATATTATTTTTTCTTTTCCTTCCTATCAATTTTACTTTGTTCTCGGCAGTAATCACAAATATGCACTCTACCATTAAATAGGTCAGGGGGATAAGTGTTTTCACATCGCCTACATTTTTGCATTTTGTCAGTCATCTCCATGCTACTATTGATAGGTGGCATGTCTTTAAGACCAGACCATCTTAAAAATCCAAACTCCCAAAATCCCAAATATATTTTTCTAAAATCCCAAAATATATTTTTCCAAAATCCCAAATTCCCAAAATATATTTTCCCAAAATCCCAAAATATAAAATCCCCATAATTTCAATACATAAATCTTACAATGTCTTTTATTGTAAGGTTTATGGTGTAATTTATAATTTAAGTTCAGGATAATAATTTAATTGATGTCGGGACAATATTCTTTTTTAAGTCTTTCTATTATTTTATCACACGTTGTTTCATTATAAATATTACTTCCTATTTTTGTTCTAAACAACCCCATTGTTCTAATTGCATGTGTTATTGTATATCTAAGTTCGTCAATTCTATACTCATCATTTAAAAACTCATTTAAAAAATTAAACAATACAACATAGTTTAAACGTTTAATATTAAAAGACATATTGTATAATCTATTTACCATACAATAATACTTAAAAATAAATTCATGATATATACTTTCAACAATAAAATGATAGTTATGCATTACAGAATCTTCATGAAATACTGTACCGTTAAAATCATTATCAATAATATCAAAAATTATTTCACGAGTTTTTTGATACTTGTCTTTTGCAAAAATATTTTGAAACGTAATAAATATATTTTCAATCGTTGCAATAACATTATTTTTTTAATTTTGGTATATCTGTTATACTCTCAATAATATTATAAATGTTATCATATAAATTATCAATATATAGAATAGAAATATCTATAGTTTCAAATGTGTTTTTAGTAATTATTTCAATCATTGATATTAGCTTATTGCAATTCATAATTGTTCCATTAAATAAAAATTTCCAATACTCATTTTTTGAATTATATATTAAACATTGTGGAACTCTATATCCTATGATATAACTTTCGAATTTTTCAACATTATTATGTTCAAAAATTATAGTTCCATCAATTGCTCGTCTTAATATGTACTTCATTGTATTTAATAGATTTGGTGCTTCCCAAACAACGATAAAATCTTAATATTTAAAATTACGATAATAATTTATTATTTCATTTTTTATTAAATTGTTAATTAATTATTTGATTTATTTTATGTTTAAAAATATCATTTAATTATATAATATAAAATAGAATTTTGGTTTGAAAATTATAATTAAAGAAAACATATAATTTAATATTTAAAAGAAATAAATAATTTATAAAGTACAAAATAAATTCTTGTAAGTCAAATAATATTTCAATTATTTACAAAATATTAATATTTTGTAAATATTATTTTTTTTTTAATAAAAAATGAAATTATAAATATATATCTTTTCCATTACGAAATATCTTGTACCGTAGCCATTTTGGCTCAAGACTCTCGAAGAATCTCCCTGAGTAATCGAGAACTCTGCCATGGCAACGATATTGCGTTTTGATCTCAACGAGTGCTCCTTCGTCTGTGATGAGTGCATGGAGGTTCCGGATCAGTGTGCAGACAATCCGGAGTATCGGGGGGACAATGTTGTTGTCCTTTGTCCGTCATGTGCACGGGACAAAGGGTACACAGTGTTGCTCTTCGACGAGGAAGACGTGGTGCATGAGGAAGATGCGCCACGCGAGGAAGATGCGCCACGCGAGGAAGATGCACCGCATGAAGAAGCAGTGTGGTTGCGTTTTTATCGCAATGAGTGCTCCTTCGTCTGTGATGAGCGCGAGAAGGTTCCGGATCAGTATGCAGACGATCCGGAGTATCGGGGGGACAATGTTGTTGTCCTTTGCCCGTCTTGCGCGCAGAGGAGAGAGTATGGAGTGATATTCTCCGACGAGGAGGACGATGCCTAGGAAGGCAAACCCCGAACAGCAAAGGGTTAATATTCTAACGATAATATTATCTTTACAATATTAATTTTATGTAATAATAGTAAATTTAAAGAATTAAAATAAAATGAAAATGTTAAATTTTTAATAAAACCTTATATAAAAAAATGAAAATATAATTATATGCATATTTCTATAATAAAAAATTTTACCGTAGCCATTTTGGCTCAAGATCTGCAAGTGCAACAAAAAACAAAAATCCTCATGGTGACAAGTGTTGCAGAGATAGATGCACACAAAGTGCTCGAGAAGCTTATGAGAGAGTTAGATATTTCGCAGTTGGAGAATACTGAGGCGCAGAGTTCAGAGGCACAGAGTTCAAACATATATCTTGTTCCAATAGTAGACTGGGAGACGATAGTTATGTGGGATGAGATTATGTGGAATGAGATGGATGAAATTCACTCACCAATACTCAGTTTCATGCGGCACGGCCATGGTGACCAGGCAAGGATCGTTTTTCTTGTCTTTTTTCTCGGCCAAGGGGTGTCTCAGTGTTTTCTCTGGTTTTGGGAGGGGGTGTCCCAGATCTGCCAAGAGATGCCTCCCTTTTGGCTGAATTGCACTGGAGCTGTGGATTGGGGGGTCCAGTCGTCAAAACTCAGGCAAGCCCCAATTGGTGCTTTGGATTGGTGCTTTGGATTTCTCAGTTGTTCAGTGGCACCCTTTTTCTTTTTCCTACTTTTTTTTGGGTGGCCTTACCAAAAAATCGGTCCAAGCCCCAAAAAGGGTTCCAGTTAATTACCCGGGGTGATCCAAATCTCAGGTGAGTCAGAATCAAAACCCGGTACAAACATGGTGAACCCAGAACCATGTAATTGAGTTTTTGGTAAATGTTGGGTATGTCACATGAGTCACTTGCTCAAAGCCCGGTATTAAAATGGTTGTAATCCCAGAACCATGCAAATCAAAAATTTTGCGAAGGCGCATATATCCGCAGCTTTTTATGGTAAGGGGATTGTCCCTTACTAACCTTCATCTACCCGGGTTTTGATTGTGGCTCATTTGGTTGTGTCTCAAAAATAGACCCCGACAAATTTCAGATGGGGCTTCCTTTTCCCCTAAACCACCTACCTAAGGGGACCCCCCAGTTGGATAAAATCCCCTCAACCGACCAATTCACATAATATTTTTTCATCAATTCATAACAGAACCTCAACTCAAGATTTGATACATAAATTTTGTAATTTTTTTCTAAATTTTCAAAAATATGTTTTTACAAAATTATCATTTTTCCCAAGAAATGTAAATCATAAATTTTACAATATTATTATTGTAAAGTTTATGGTTAAAATTTAAATCATATTATTTCATAATTTGAATAATTGCAGAATTCCTCACGGAATATGCTGAAATGAAATAATTTTCCAGAAAGGGTAATTCACCTACAATTTGAAAAACTTTGTCCTTCACTTCCTCCATTTCCTTTTTGACCTCTGGTGCTACTGGAGGTTTGAATTTTCAATTTCATTAGGTTTTTCTTCCTCAACTGTTGTTTTTACTTTATTCTCATTCTCAATATGCTTCTGTGTTTTCAAATGCTTGGACATTGCAGATTTCCTCACTTTACACTGGCAAATGTCACATTCTATTTCAATCTGATTACGCACTTTATTATATTATTTTTTCTTTTCCTTCCTATCAATTTTACTTTGTTCTCGGCAGTAATCACAAATATGCACTCTAACATTAAATAGGTCAGGGGGATAAGTGTTTTCACATCGCCTACATTTTTGCATTTTGTCAGTCATCTCCATGCTACTATTGATAGGTGGCATGTCTTTAAGACCAGACCATCTTAAAAATCCAAATTCCCAAAATCCCAAATATATTTTTCTAAAATCCCAAAATATATTTTTCCAAAATCCCAAATTCCCAAAATATATTTTCCCAAAATCCCAAAATATAAAATCCCCATAATTTCAATACATAAATCTTACAATGTCTTTTATTGTAAGGTTTATGGTGTAATTTATAATTTAAGTTCAGGATAATAATTTAATTGATGTCGGGACAATATTCTTTTTTAAGTCTTTCTATTATTTTATCACACGTTGTTTCATTATAAATATTACTTCCTATTTTTGTTCTAAACAACCCCATTGTTCTAATTGCATGTGTTATTGTATATCTAAGTTCGTCAATTCTATACTCATCATTTAAAAACTCATTTAAAAAATTAAACAATACAACATAGTTTAAACGTTTAATATTAAAAGACATATTGTATGATCTTTTTACCATGCAATAATACTTAAAAATAAATTCATGATATATACTTTCAACAATAAAATGATAGTTATGCATTACAGAATCTTCATGAAATACTGTACCGTTAAAATCATTATCAATAATATCAAAAATTATTTCACGAGTTGTTTGATACTTGTCTTTTGCAAAAATATTTTGAAACGTAATAAATATATTTTCAATCGTTGCAATAACATTATTTTTTAATTTTGGTATATCTGTTATACTCTCAATAATATTATAAATGTTTTCATATAAATTATCAATATATATAATAGAAATATCTATAGTTTCAAATGTGTTTTTAGTAATTATGTCAAACATTGATATTAGCTTATTGCAATTCATAATTTTTCCATTAAATAAAAATTTCCAATACTCATTTTTTGAATTATATATTAAACATTGTGGAACTCTATATCCTATGATATAACTTTCGAATTTTTCAACATTATTATGTTCAAAAAATATAGTTCCATCAATTGCTCGTCTTAATATGTACTTCATTGTATTTAATAGATTTGGTGCTTCCCAAACAACGATAAAATCTTAATATTTAAAATTACGATAATAATTTATTATTTCATTTTTTATTAAATTGTTAATTAATTATTTGATTTATTTTATGTTTAAAAATATCATTTAATTATATAATATAAAATAGAATTTTGGTTTGAAAATTATAATTAAAGAAAACATATAATTTAATATTTAAAAGAAATAAATAATTTATAAAGTACAAAATAAATTCTTGTAAGTCAAATAATATTTCAATTATTTACAAAATATTAATATTTTGTAAATATTAATTTTATTTTTTTTAAATAAAAATGAAATTATAAATATATATCTTTTCCATTACGAAATATCTTGTACCGTAGCCATTTTGGCTCAAGACTCTCGAAGAATCTCCCTGAGTAATCGAGAACTCTGCCATGGCAACGATATTGCGTTTTGATCTCAACGAGTGCTCCTTCGTCTGTGATGAGTGCATGGAGGTTCCGGATCAGTGTGCAGACAATCCGGAGTATCGGGGGGACAATGTTGTTGTCCTTTGTCCGTCATGTGCACGGGACAAAGGGTACACAGTGTTGCTCTTCGACGAGGAAGACGTGGTGCATGAGGAAGATGCGCCACGCGAGGAAGATGCGCCACGCGAGGAAGATGCACCGCATGAAGAAGCAGCGTGGTTGCGTTTTTATCGCAATGAGTGCTCCTTCGTCTGTGATGAGTGCGAGAAGGTTCCGGATCAGTATGCAGACGATCCGGAGTATCGGGGGGACAATGTTGTTGTCCTTTGCCCGTCTTGCGCGCAGAGGAGAGAGTATGGAGTGATACTCTCCGACGAGGAGGACGATGCCTAGGAAGGCAAACCCCGAACAGCAAAGGGTTAATATTCTAACGATAATATTATCTTTACAATATTAATTTTATGTAATAATAGTAAATTTATAGAATTAAAATAAAATGAAAATGTTAAATTTTTAATAAAACCTTATATAAAAGATGAAAATATAATTATATGCATATTTCTATAATAAAAAAATTTACCGTAGCCATTTTGGCTCAAGATCTGCAAGTGCAACAAAAAAACAAAAATCCTCATGGTGACAAGTGTTGCAGAGATAGATGCACACAAAGTGCTCGAGAAGCTTATGAGAGAGTTAGATATTTCGCAGTTGGAGAATACTGAGGCGCAGAGCTCAGAGGCACAGAGTTCAAACATATATCTTGTTCCAATAGTAGACTGGGAGACGATAGTTATGTGGGATGAGATTATGTGGAATGAGATGGATGAAATTCACTCACCAATACTCAGTTTCATTCCAATACCTTTCCAAAGCACGAACAAGGACAAAATTCCCGATTGCACTGATATCGTATTGCCAATATGGACTGTGGAAAAACTCTGTTTGTTTCCTTCTCCTTCGGAAGTTCCACAGCCGTGGCAACTTTTAAATTTGCAATAGAACAAACTGCATACGTTTGAATTTTTGGAGAATATGATATTATATGATTGTTTAGCATATCATTCATTACTAGCATAGTGAAAAATATAATTGTTATAATAAAAAATTATTATAACAGTTATATAAGAATTTAGAATCTATATTAGATTTTTTTTGATAAAATAAAATGTTTTGTTTATAAAGTTTTAAAATAATAATATAATAACGAATAATAATTATCAAATAATTGATTTAGACGATAATATAAATCATATTTACATTATTAATTCATTATTTGATATTATAATAATATTAATTGTTATTTTTATATTTTTTATTTTTATATTTAATAAAAAATAAAATTATGAATAAACATATTATATATAATGATATAAATAATGAAATTAATATTTCGTAATTATTTTGTGAAAAAATTTGATATAAAATATAAACAATATATAGTTTTAAATATTTTACATTTTTTTAATAAATAGTTATATATAATGATTTCAAATGAAACATTTGTTAATATACGAACACTAAAACAAAACAATACAGAACAACGTGATAATAAAAAAATAGAAACATATATATGAGATATCTAACAATGTCGAAGAAAACACGGTTATAATAAACGATATGGTAACTTTAATAGATAATAATGAATATGGCAATACTCCATTAGTTTCAACAAATGGAATAGCAGATTTGTATTTTGATGGAAATTTATTAACATTTCAAGGTTTACCATATAATGGTAATATATTATTGGAAGCAGATGATAATATTATTTCTTTATTGCCAAGTAGTTCTTTCATAGGTTTAACAGGATTAAAATTATATAAATCAACTAATGGTATATTATCATTATTACCAGAAGGATTTTATATTACAGACGACACTGCTGTTATAAATGATAATAATAATAAATATGAATTATATTTATATGATAAAACTATTAATAATCATGTTTTAAAATATACTGAAGATATAACATTTTCTTTAATTGATAAAAATAATGAAATATGTTTAAGATATACAAATACAGGAACACAAAAATTTTTACCAGAAAATGAAAAAATATTGTTTAAAATTAGCAAATTATAAAAATCCAAATGAAATGATAGAATATTATAATGTAAGATCTGGTAATGGAACCTATACAATAACTGAATTAAATAATAATTATATTGTTAATTTTAAAACTTTAGAAATATTTGATACTAATCATAATATTATTGATATAATGGAATATGAAGAATTCTATAATTTTGATATTACAGGTGCTGGTTCTAATTTAACTCCTGATCAATTAATGATAGGTAAATTTACTAAATATAATGGATATAATTTATTCATTTTAAATCTATGAGTATTTGGAAATTATGTTGGTGGTGAAGGTGGATTTGATATTTTTTTAATATATAATTTATTTTTTATAGAACACACTTATGATGATTATGGATTATTTAATTACAAGATTACGAAGTATCGCCTTTAAGTACTGATGCATGTTTTAATGATGTATAAAATAATAAATTAAATATTAATATAATTATATAAATCATCATTTTCATTATCAGGTGGATTATTTTTTGAAAGTATTATTATATTGGAATTACTGATATCGATATTTGAATGAAATATTTTTTTGGAAATTATTATTTTTAATTCTATATAATAATTTAGTATTAATATTATTTTCAGATATATCAATTAATATAACATTAAATTATGTTTTTTTTTAATATATTACTATTTTTAGATAAAAAAGAATATACATCACTTGTTTTTTTTATAATTAATATCAAAAAAAATATCTTTATTAATACTTTCAATTATATCATTTTTAGAAATTACATTATTTTTTTTAATATTTATCCACGTAATTTGTGAATTTTTTGTAGAAATAATTTATTTAATGAGTTATATAAATCACTATTTAAATTTTGTAATGACATGATATATAATTACTATATAAACATATTGTTTATAAATGTAAAAAAATTAAACTATTTAATAAATCTGATATTTTAATTTATAGCTATTTATAATGTATCACAATAAATATTTAAAATATAAATTAAAATATCTTAATAAAATATCAAACTTATATGGAGGCGGTGTTACTATTGATATTACTCCTGAAAATAAATTTAAAATAATTGTAGAATTAATAACAATGATTAATTCTAATATATCTAGTATTGATGATTATATATTTATTCTAAGAAATAATTCATATACAATACAAATAGTTAAAGATAAGACATATATAAAAATATTACTATTAATAAAAATGATGATAGGGAGAATAAACCTATTTTTAGTTTCAACGATGACTTATGTATGGAAGAAAAAATTCAATGTATTTTGGATGAAAATAATTCATTGAATTTAATTTATTTTCCATTTATTTTATTATTTATGTTGAATAATCCTCATGAACCTATGATATCAAATAATAATATATTAATATATCATAAATCTAAAAATATTTCTGAGATATTTAAACATAAGAATATCTATAATTATTTTTTTATTAGAAATAATATTATTTTAATATATATTAAAAATATTAACAAATTTTATTATATTGATATTACAAATGTAACAATAACTAATTTTGATTATAATAATGAACCTATTATATATAGTTGTGAAAGATGTAATCATAATGAACAATATAATTGTCGTGAATATTTTAATGCTGTATTACAAAAATATAATTTTATACAAAATAATCCAATGCAATATATAGTAAATTGTTCAAAATGTTACTATAGTCATAGTAGTTATAGTAGTTATAGTAGTTATAGTAGTTATAGTAGTTATAGTAGTCAAGATAGTAAAGATAGTAAAGATAGTAAAGATAGTCAAAACATTTTCATGAAAGATTTATATACTATATTTATAAATACGTTTCAGAGTAATGATTATAGTGTTCCTAATGAAATTCCATTAAAACTACCATTCAAACCCGTTATTAAAAAATAAGTTAATAATTTTCCTCATTAAAAATTCTAATTTTAATTGTTTACTATGAAAAACTAACATTGTCTATAATTATAAATTTATTTTTAAAATTTTCTAAAATATCTTTGAATTAATATTTTAATAATTTATAATTTATAATTTATTATATTTTTATTATTTGTTTATATAATAGTAAATTATCTTATATTTTTATGAATTGTTTTTGAATAACTATATTTTTGATAATTATTAAATTTAAATTAAAATAATCAAAGATTATTTTAATATAAATAGTTGTTATTTTTTATAAAATTACTTTATAATAAATTAATTTTATTAAAAATAATAAAAACATTTTTTCATAATTTTCCATTCATTTTTATCATGTGTTTTCACAAATTTATTATATGATAATTCATTATAATCATTTTTTGTTGTATTATATTTGTCCAAATATAATTTTGAAAAATCATTATATGTTATTAATTTTTTATTTTCCATATATCTTTTATTAAATTTTGAGATATTGCTCCAAATTTAAATTTATTATTTGTAAGTTTTTTTAATAATTTTAAAATATCTTTATTTGTTGTTTTGAATTGTGGATAATAAATATAAGTGTTTTGTTTAATGACAATATCATTATAATTTTGATTTTTTTTTAGAAAATATAGTTTTATTTTCTTTATCAAATTCTATTTTATTTAATATATTTTGAATAATATGTTTTTTCATCATTTTATCAGATATTTTTTTACAACCATTATTTGTTTCTATATAAATATTGGTATCTAAATTATTTTTTGATATTTTCTCTAATTCTATAAGATTTAAATAATATATTTTATCTTTAATTTCATTTAAATGTTTTTTATATTTTTCCATATAATTATTTAATTATATACTTTATTATTTTTTTTAAATATTTATAATTTAAAAAATAATAATAATTAAATAAGTATAAAATATTGTTTCGTTTGTTATTATAACAACATTTTCTACAATATCACTTAAGTTTTAATCTCTATATAAATTATCTATATTGGTTTTTTAGAAATGTAAACATCTTTATTCATTCATTAAATATTATTTTATTTTTAAATAATTTTATTAAATTAGTTTCATTAATACTTTTAATAGAGTATTTGATACAATTTAATAAAGTATCATGATTTAATTGTTGATGTAATGTTTTAATTATACTAAATAAATTTTTTATTGGATTAAAAATCTGGCGAATAAGGCGGTATATAAAATAAATTAAGTGTTATTAAAAGAATATAGTTTTATAGCAAAAAAGTTTACTAAATTATTCAATTACCAAAATACTTTTACTAATCGGGTAGTCAGGTAGTCAAAATACTCAAAATACACGATGCAGTAAAGACGATGTTGTAAAAACTTTATAATATATTTAAAATAAAAGATAACGTATGTAT